GGCCTTCTATTTTTTTTTTCCCCCCACACCCGGGGGGGGGGTTTGGCCCCCCCCCCCCCCTTTTTCCACACCCCCCCCCCCCCGCCCGGGCCCCCCCCCCCCCCCCCGCGCACACGCCCCGCAGAGCCCTTGGAGGAAGGCCGGGACACCAGTGATTGCCAGACAATAAGTTCCACCTGGCGGCCCTCCCGGCGAGCCTATAAACTTTGTAGGCGGAAAGCAGCCCCGCTCCAGTGCACTGAGGAGTTTCGCCCAGGGCGTGAAGAAGCGACCTTCGCTCCGCACGAGCCGAGCGCCCGCTGCCCGCCCGCCTCTAGGACCCAGCGGAGCCGGGGCGCTCGCTAATCGCTCGCCCAGCAGCACCTGCTTGCCTGCCTGCCCGGCCGGCGGGCGTTCGCTCGGCCGCTCGCTCCTCACTCAGCACAGCGGCGCCGCCACGATGGTGCAGCCGCAGCCGCTCGCCGTGAGCTACTTGTGGCTCGGGCTGGGCTTGTGGGCGTCGCTGCCGCCGGCGGGCCGGGCGCTGCCCGAGGTGCTATTCCGCTGCCCGCCGTGCACCGCCGAGCGCCTGGCCGCCTGCCCCCCGCCGCCGCCCGCCTCGGCGGAGCCCGACTCCGCCGCCTGCCCGGAGCTGGTGCGGGAGCCCGGCTGCGGCTGCTGCCGCGTCTGCGCCCGCCTCGAGGGGGAGCCCTGCGGGGTCTACACGCCGCGCTGCGCCTCCGGGTTCCGCTGCTACCCGCGCCCCGGCTCCGAGCTGCCCCTGCAGGCGCTCATGCAGGGACAGGGCACCTGTGCCGAGCGGAGCGACGCCGCCGACGGGGGAGCCGCCAGCGTCGAGCACCGCGGGAACGGTGAGTAGAGCGCGCGGCGGCTGTGGGAGGCTGCGGCGGGAAGGCGGGCGAAGCGTCCGGGGGGCCAGGCGCGGGGACACGGGCGACCCGCGCAGCCTGTCGCGCGTGGAGCGCGCTCCTGGAAACTTTGGCACACGCACGCAGGGCCTCCTTTCAGCGGAACCTTTAAAGCGCTTCTGGACGTGCTCGCAGGTAACTCTCGTTCGTATCCTTGCTAAGGGCTTGCAATAGGTATCAGTTTCTGCATGTTTTTAGGTTTAAGGCAGCGTTGAGCCCTTCAGCTCCTGCTGCCGGTTGTTACTCCATAGGAGGCTTGCTATGTTTGGGCTTTGTGTTTTGGAGGCGCGGGGTGGTTTCACTTCAATACCTAAGCGGGAGGCAGTAGGTTTTGCCCTGAAGCGCCGCCTCGGCTGTGCAAGCTGGTTGCGGTTGCTTAGCCGGGAAAAGCACAGCGTCCACACGTGCATACAGACACTGACGTATGTGGCATCATGAGAAGGAACGTCTGGGGGAAGCAGTGCAAGGGGGCTGTGTGGGGCTGCGCCTGCACAGGTGTGCTGGCTTAACACATTGAGGAGAACGTGTGAACCTGCAGGCAAACCGCTTTCTGTGAGAAATGTTGCTTATGAGTAGTCAAGGAGGGTACCATGTAGAAGGAATGGAGGTCTTCTGGAGTTGTGTAAAGGAGGACTTGTGAAGGAGAGATCCTGAAGAAGGATGTTCAGGGCTGGGGCAGGGATTGGGCCTGCAGTGTGAGCATGGGTCTGCCGATGGGGCAAGGGGGCGGAAACAGAAGGGCTGGGTTCACATGATCAATTTGATGCATGACTCCCAGTACATGGCAGGCACACAGGTTCTTGCATCATCCAAACCTAGCAGGGGTGGGTTGTTGGTATGGTTAATACACCTAGGCAATGATCTATGGACTGTTCTGTAGGAGAAAGGGATGCTGGGTTTGAAGAGAATAAATTGGAGCGGTAGGCTTAAAACTAGGGAACGAGGATAGCATACCTTAGAAAGCCTGCATAAGAGGGAAACTGTTGGGATGTAGGATCAAAAGAGTCGGTCAACACTCATCCTTGTTGAGAAGGGCAATGAAGTTTGGGGAATGAGGGCAGAAATGAATGGATAGAAATGGGTGAAATAGTAGGAAGCTGGTGGTGATAGTGGGGATTTGGGCGGGCAGGTGAGTGAGATACTCTTCCTGGCAAAGGCAAGAGAAACTGTGCCAGTAAAGCAGGTAAAGTTTGGTGGTGGGACCGGGTCAGAAATGGCTTGGATGTCAATGTTCAATTGTTCGATGCGAAACCCTGCAGCTGGGTTAGTGGTACAGCTGGGTAATCAAAGACTCTGGACATGATGTTTTTACAACCAGTATCCCTCCAGTCTCGTGGGAAGGTATATTCTTTCTCTTTTTGAAATGGGGTACCTTTTCATGAAATTGTGGGGGTTGAGCTTCACCATATGTGGAGTGCAGAGGTGGGCTGGAGTGGCTGAACTCAGAGGGATGCTCTGTTAGGCTACAAGCGTCTTAGATTTCAGTGCTTTTTCACTTAAAATGACAAATGTGAAGTAAATGTGTCAAGCTACTTGAAACATTCTCCCTAATGTGCCAGTTTAAGAAGCAGGCTTGAAAGAGAGAAGCATGGAATGAGCAGGAAGCAATAAACTTTCAAAAATAAGACCTCCTTCACATGCCACTTGAAGTGCTCCAGTTCAGATTTCTACCAACCAGTTCTGTACAATGCACAGTCTTGTAAGAGTTATTTCACCTCTGATGCCCACTGTGGTATTGCACCAGTGTTTCTCACAGCACAAAGCAAGACTCTGTCCCCAGACTCACTGTAGACAAGTTCAAAAGAGTTGTTAGCTAGTCATAGTTCCTTGACTTGAATCTCCAGGGACGTTTAAGGATGTTTTCTGCTGTTTAGATGTTTGCTATTCAAACCCCAGTGTAACATGAGATACTCATGGCAAACAAAGTTGCAACACAAACAAGTGAAGCAGCTTTCAGTAGTGAGACTAAACTTCAGCTGAAATGAACTGTCTACTACAATAAATGGTTCACCTTGAAATGCCATTCCATCAGCTTGCTTGGTTTGAATTTTAAAGCCTTTAGTAACCATTTCCCAGATAAAACTAACACCATGCACAACTCCCATGTACCTTGTCTCTCTGTAACTTAATAATGCCATGAGCTCTTTGAAAGAAAGAGCAGAAGCATAATCAGGGTGAGAAATTCTGATATTTAAAACCATAGTGGAAAGCAGCAGTGTGTTCAAATTGCTGCTGCATCAAACAGTAGAACTTGGGGAGGCAGAAGCTGTAGTGAGTTACTGGAAATACTATGTTCAACAGGGGGAAGTTCTCTGCACCTAAAGTGTTGTATTCAAGATGACATTCCAGCTGGATGCCAGCTGTACGAGCCAGTGATGGGAGGTTTTCCCCCCACCCGATTTATATGCTGCCTTTTTCCTACGAAGGGCTCAAGGCAGCTTACATCATTCTCCTCCATCTTATCCCCACAACAACAACCTTGTGAGGTAGGTTGGACTTCCATTATAAGCAGAAATGAGGAACAGGAGAAATCATCCTTTGAGGCAAAGCACAAGTAGTTAAAGTGATTTAGGGTTATTCTAGGAAATGAGTGCAGGATTAGTTTGACTTAAACTTACTTTGGTAAGAGTGCTTCTTGTCTGCCAAGAGGCAGGTGCTGAGTTATTGTTATATGTGTAAATTCCATGAATTACATTTATTTGCATAGGGCAGGTTGGGGGAAGGAAAAAATTCTTCTCTTGCTTGGGGATTGGAATGCAAAACTTGTATGCAATTCCAAAATCGAGGGGTTGGCGAGTTTATGCTGTCCCTGATGAGAGTCAGGAAGGTTGCCCAAGTGAAACAAGGAGTAAGACCGAGCTTTCTCCTGCTGTGGGCTTCGGCATTGTTTAATCTTCCACTGAGGTCTGTGCTGCCAATCCAGAAAGGGCTGCAAGCAGAAAGAAATACAAATAATCCACAGCAAGGAACGGATGCTGTTACTGATTGCAAAAAAGGCTGTGGGTATTCTGGGGAATGTTGGAACAAAAATATCAATTCTGCAGAAATCAAATGAACAGGCAAAGTGTACTCTTTGGGGTTCCATTCTAGAAAAGTTTGCACATTTCCTGTTCTTTTAAGTTCCTTGGTACAGATTGGATTGACTGCAGTAGTATCCTGATCCTGTTTGAATGGATCCCCTTCCCCTCTTCTGTTAAATGCAATAAATCTGACAGTCCCTCTCTTGCGTCCATATTTCCTCTGTTGCAAAACTGCCTTGCAAGTTTCTCCTTTCTTACATTTCCTCTATGGGTTCAGTCTGTTTGCAATTGAATGTTGCTGGTCAGCTGTTTTCAGTGCGTTCTTCCAAATACTCTATGTAATGAGTCCTTTTTCATTCCAAGATTCTGTGTGATAAATATCCATTTGGCGATTGACCCCAGACCTCAAAGAACTGTAACAGTCATATAAACAAGTTCTAACCTAGGACCAGTAGTCTTAGAAGAAAAAGACAAGTGACAGATCGAGACATTACTTACCCACATAGGACATGCATGTAAGACTATTTGTAGAAACAAGGATCCATACGCCTGCCCCTGTTTTCTAGAAAAAAAATAGGCAAATGTTGGGGCTTAACTTGTCCTTGGTGGACTGCTCTTTATTTAGCAGACCTGACCTGGGGATAGACAATGAGAATGGGAAAATGCTTTTGTCATGCCAAGCTTGGGAATTAGTATGAGATTATTTCATTATGTTTATATCCTGCCTTCTTTCCTTTTGTGGCTTACATACTTGGCCTCCATTTTATCATAACAGTGCTGTGAGGTAGGCTGGGCTAAGAATGAGTGATTAGCCCAAAGTCACCCAGTGAGCTTTATGGCTGAGAGGGGACTAGAACCCAGATCACCAGCACTTTAACCACCATGTCAAACCGTCTCTGAGTCATTATCTGCACTGGGGTTAGATTATGGGTTTCCTCCTTATTATGCAATAGAAATAGGTTGGTATCTTCACATTATGATGTGTTTACAGAAGGACAGATGTGGTTGAAGCACCAGGTATATTGTCTTGTTAGCCAATCTTGTCCATACTTACCTGGAAGTAAGGCCCATTGAATTCATTGTGGCTTGCCTCAGAGTGAGTATGCATAGACAGTGTTACCCAAGTCACCTTCATGACTGTTCTGTTGTGAAAGGTAAGTTGGTAAGCAACAACCAAACTAAATCAGTTGTCTTATTGGACCAAAAAGACAAAGATAATTTAGGTATTTCATTGGGTCAGCTAAAATATCTTAACTCTTGCCTGGTTAACTTTACAGCATGCACAGGCCAAACAGGTCGCTCTACACAAAAAGTGTAAGTGGACAACTTGGATGAATGATTCCATAATGATCTGCATGTTCACATCTCTGGGATCTTGAACATTGTAGTGCTGACCTGAGGGATAATATAATTAAAGAAACAAGCAAATACAACCTTTGAAATGAGATGCACCATAATTATCATGTCTAATTCTGTAACAATTAGGGTTTGAATATAGTTTATGGCAATCTTAAAGCAACCACAACCAGAAAAAACTTACCCTGCTTGCTGCTATGAACCTTGGCTCTGTTTTACCCCTTCTTGCTACTGTTCACCTTGTTAATACTATTTGTAGTCCACTGTTCCTCCATGCACCACCACCTTGGTGTGTTCAGTACATCTGATGAAATGACATGTTAACCTGCAACATCCCATGGTGCAGAAAATAAGCTAGTCTCCAGATTGCTCTAGGACTTTCTTCTAAACTTGCTGGTGAGGGGACCCTATATTATTCCATTTTGTGAGGTGTTTTAGGGTTGCAGTCTGCTTGTTCCCTAAACCTTTCCCAAACTAGGCAAAACTGCTAAATCAATCAAGACCTTGGCAGTCTTTTTTTTTATCACTCACTCCTTACTGGAACTGTTACTGAAATTGCCTCTCTGG